TACTAATACTANAGTATATAATATATAATAACTTATTAGTAGTACTATAATATATATATATATATATATATATATAATAATAATAATAATAATATATATATATATATATATATATATATATATATATATATATATATATATATATATATATATATAGATATATATATATATATATATATATTTATGTGTGTGTGTATATACACACAAACACACACCACTTATTGTACAAAAACACGTACAATTATATTGTAAGCGGTCCGATCTACAATCCATCGACAACGAATAGAGTATGCACAAAGATGCCTGCAACTAGATCTTGAATATGCAAACTTGTACAAAAACCGCTCCATTGCAAAGAATAAAACTCCAACCACACACGTATCTTTAAATACACACAAAAAGGTAGTATGTGTAGTCTCAGTTTACAAACTTACTTACCTAGAAAACGTTGATTATGGTACTTAAGATAATAGTAGGATCACCGGTTGGCCCATTTTCAAAGAGAGCGACACGCGCCGAGGTATCAGCAGAAAATCTGGCAATAATCACGCAGCGAGCAATACCTCCGTCTATAATAACATGGTTGTAATATTCTTAGTTTTAGAGAGCATACCTATGGGTGTTGGCGAAATCAACCTGCATCTTACTTACGCGACTTCAAGCCAACGGTCTTGGATAATTACTAGAGTTGGACATCGTGAAAGTGCTCACATCAACCTCAGCCGAGTGGAAACGAAACGAAAGTACAACTTTTGTAACGATTGGCGCAAGAGTGCAATTCTCCGAACGAACCAACAGTCAATGCTGTCGGTCTGACGATCTCACAGCCCAGTAGCGAAGGTAAATACAAGAGCATAAATATTTGCCGGGGATTGTAGGATGTCTGCAATGATTCTGTGGTATTTTTTTTGAGAAGAATCATAAAATTTATATAAAAATCCAACATAACTATTTTTTTTATTAGTTTTTTTTCAAACAACCGAAAACAAAAGAGTACATAAATATTTATGCACTTTTTTTTTAACTTTGAAATTTGTATTTGTTGCTAAAATCTATTTTTTTAGATTTGTGTGTGGATGACAGAATGTCCGACTCGGCACATATGACATAGCCCTGTGAGATGTCTAATACATCGCCATAATATTTTGAATTTTCCACTCTCTCGCTCCAGCCAGTATATCTGACAGACAGACTTTAGATAGAGTTACTCTCTACGAGTCTCTCTACGAGTCTCTCTACGAGTCTCTCTACGAGTCTCTCTACGAGTCTCTCTACGAGTCTCTCTACGAGTCTCTCTACGAGTCTCTCTACGAGTCTCTCTACGAGTCTCTCTACGAGTCTCTCTACGAGTCTCTCTACGAGTCTCTCTACGAGTCTCTCTACGAGTCTCTCTACGAGTCTCTCTACGAGTCTCTCTACGAGTCTCTCTACGAGTCTCTCTACGAGTCTCTCTACATACTCTATAGTAGAGTCTCTACTCTCTAATAGTAAGGCTGAGTCTCTGATGAGACCGAGAGGGTCATATAAATACTTCTAATCTGACAATAAGTAGTGCCACAGGCCCATACATGAAATAACATGAGGAACGGTAAAAAATATATATATAAAAGTGATGTAATGACGAATAAACTATGTGGCAGATGCAGCCAATCTGCTATCGTATCAGCTACTATTTTTCTTTTTGATTTTTTTAAATTTATATTAGATACTTATATTCTGGCAGGCCAGCGGGTCTGTGGGCTGTGGGCGTGGGGAGATAAATATATATGATGGTATCAGAACATATGACATTATTACCGGGTCACCAATGAAGGTCCAATATAAGCGTAGTTGTCAATCTAACACGTGACAGTATATTTAGAGCGATTTTATATTTACAAATCTGGTTTGCTTTTTCATTATTATTTAAAAAAATATTGTGTATAAAAACAAAACAAAAAAAAACAACCAATACAATATATATATATATATATATTTCTTTTTTAAAAAACAATATATCTATATAAATATTTTGAATTTTTTACTGTGGAGTTCGGAGGCTGTATCTATTTTACCTATAGAAACTGTGAGTTTACGGAGTAGCTATATGTTGGAATCGAAAGAGCGTAGTGTTTCACAACAGAAACGACTTTGTGTCCCCTTTTTGGGTGTACAGAACGAGACATGACTGTGCTACATATGAACAACAAAACCGACAATTGTAGTATCGCATGTTCGTTGCAGTGTATTAAAAATAGTGTATAATAGCTGTTCGAAATTCTGATAGGCGTTACAAGGATCACCATCAAGCAACAGCAGGCAGTACTACACAGGATGTACTGCCTATATCTTCAACGCGACGGCATTCGATAGTAACTCAAGCAGTCGACTATGTAATTGTTGATGTCATACAACGCAGACCTATCCAATCCTTGAATAGCTTATGGATACAAAGAAATTTATGCACCAGGACAAGTATCATACCGTGATAACCTTACTGACAACGACAGTCGAGACGTAGCAAAACAAATCAAATTCCGCAAAAGTTATGGACTCAAAACCAGCATCATAGAGACGAAAATATCTTCATGGATCAGCTATTAGTGACAATTAATACTCACATTTATATATTTATTTAAAAAAAATGAAATATAACTTGTCTGTGTAGTCGTGTACATGTACATGTATATGTGTGTTTCTCTCTCTACTTAGAGCAGAAGCAATGTTTTTTTCTAATTTTATTAAATGATGTGTTGCTGTATGCATTGAGAATTCATAGCCATCTTGCAGAAGCGATATTTATTTATGACTTTATAATATACAATCAAATTTTTATCAGACGAAAAAAAAGTCTGTTTGGTGTTTGCGAGCTCCCAGGAGTCCCAGCATAGTACTTCAGTGCTGACTGATGAGTGCAGAAGCTGCAGATCCTCACTTTTGACATCTAACGCCTGTTCCGAGTTCTCAGTTCTACTTCTGGCTTCAGTTATCAGTTCTGCAGTTCAAGTTCTACTTTTGAGTTCTCAGAACTTCTGACTTCTCAGTTCACTGTTCAGCAGTTCTAAGATTCTCTACACGCGTTGACGCACGTGTGTAGAGTTGTAGACTATTGTTGAGTATTGTTACTTGTAGATGTACACCTGTCACCTCGCCAGGCTCGCCGCTCGACGTATACCATTGTACTCAGACTCCAAGCCGACGGGAGTAAAGGTGAGTAATCCCGCCGCCCAATGATGAATGACTAGTTTTTTTCCTAGACATACCAGAACTATTTGAAAATGGGTTTGTACAGAAGCTTCCAAGTTTTAAGTTTTGACTTTCAAATCGCTTTCACGCGAGAGAGTCAAATCTCGAAGCGGAAGTCACAACTATCAAACCGTAGGCAATATCAAATTTGAAATATGAGACATGGAATCAAGGATTCATGGATGGTCAGTTTCTGAGTTTTTGCTGTTTGTTTGTTTTTTCCATTTCTGTTTTTGTTTTGTTTTGAAAAAAATAATATCAAATAGTAACAACTCACAGTCACAGACTCACAGAGCAATAATATTTACAAAATTATATAAAATTTGTATCTAAAAAGTAAAATACTCACTACTGACTCCATAGATGACGTACATTGACTGACTGACTGTAGGACCAGTCACGAACCAGTCAACCACTCACCACCAGTCACCAGACTGGATTCTTTGCCACCTTTTAATTCTTTATTAGACAATCAGTAGGGCAGTACATGTGGTCCGATTATGCGGATATGTACTCCTGTGGAGTTCTATCGGCTACTATCTATCGCAGAAATTTGCCCCCGACTGGCCCGACCCCTCGACTCCGAGTCCCGACCGGCCGACCTCCGTAGTATACTATTGTCTGATACAATACCGTTAAATACAAACGGATGCTTACATACAATCTGTCATTTGTCGTCCATATGCAATTTTCAATACAATGTTGCACCACAATTTTCCGAAAGACCGGGCATATGCTATTTATTTTGTTTTTTGACCGAAGTACATACTGTTTTTGTTTTTTGTTTTTATTAAAAATAAAAATAAAATAAGAGGCTATGCCGCTATATGGAGTAATGTTTTTTATTTTTTAAACAAAACATATTCGCATATTTGAATATTTAAAAAAAACAAAATCAGTATTTTCCAAAACAGCTTGCGCGTTGCGGCTCGCGGTCGCCACTCGCCAGTCACTACCTCGCCAGTCACTACCTCGCCATCGGCCGGCAAATGTAAAAAATATTATATGATGTTTTCTGTAATACAAATAAATTTACGTACAACATGCAAACACCCCAACACAGCGACCACGAGTCAACAAGAACAGTATATAATCCGTATGCTTTCGTGACAAGTCAAACACTATTTGCGTGGGAATCAGCACAGCAAAGAAGTTGTAGTACGTGATATCAAAATGGCTAAGTCTCTAAGATCTTTGGCTGGTAACTCCAAGCATGTCTACGACTACGTAATTGTAGGCGGAGGTAGTGCTGGCTGTCTCATGGCTAATAGATTGTCCGCCGACCCGTCAGTGCGTGTTGCTCTGCTGGAAACAGGTCCCGATGATAATACGCCTATCGTACAGGTGTGTTTCTGAAATATTGAACAAAGCTCACACTACCGATTTAGGTAACAAATTGAACTCGAGGTTCAGCATACATTTGGTTTGCTAATAGTTGGAAGTGTTCGTCCTTTATACAATGTGAAAGTGTGATATTCAGAGCCCTATGAGTTGGGATATTGAATGATAATATGATCATTGTTAATAGCAATTTTTTTATGGCACAAGTTCGAGATTTTCATCAAGCAGTTTGACAGTCATGTCCTATTCGTGTTGCTCATAAGTAATCTTTCATAAAGTACAATGTCCACGTTTGTCGATTTTTTTTGGGGTCTTAGTTATCAACGATGCCAGTTTATTCACAAATTGTATCTACCCCTACGCACAACCCACAGCAAGCCGTTGGCTACTTCTGGGCCGTACCTTTCAGTCGGAAGTACAATCATCGATTCTACACCAAACCCGAGAAATACTGCAACAACAGAGAGCTCATGCAGCCGCGTGGCCGCGTGTTGGGAGGATCTTCAAGTATTAACGCCATGTTGTACATTCGCGGTGCACAGTACGATTACGACGACAGATGGGTTAAGGAGGCAGGGTGCAAGGGATGGGATTACGAAACAAGTATGTTGGTGTCCATATGTTTTGCTAGCAGTCCATTCTAGTCTTCTGTAGCTATGCCACCAAATTCTTCTATTCATTCCATTCTTTCAATGGAGAGAGAAAGTCAAGAGACTTAAGACAAGCAAGCTATGAATGTTTTTTCTTCTACTAACTGGTTCACTGCCCCATCTGAATGGTTTCCATAGTGCTGAATGCGTTCAAGCTGCACGAAAACAACGACACGCTGCACGACGAATACCATGGAAACAGCGGACCTCTTCAAGTGCGCACCATGGATCACAAATACGCATTAGACAAGGCCATGGTTCAGGGTTCCATTGACCTTGGATTGAAAGCAAATAATGATTTCAATGGAGCCGGTATGTGCCCAAACTACACTTAATTTCACATAATCTTTTCGGACAAAACTGCCCCTGACTTCTGTGAAAAGTATTTTACGCTTTGCTCTGTGACGGCCGCTTGCTAATGTTAATAATTATTCCTTTGCAGAACAAGACGGTGTTGGGCGATACCAATCTACACAAAGATCCGGAAATAGATGTTCTGCAGCTAGGGCATTTTTAACGCCCGAAGTTCGTAACCGACCTAACCTGGACGTAATTGTGGACGCACACGTTACCAAGGTAACCACCGAGGGCAAGAAGGCTACTGGTGTGCAGGCTGTTGTTTCCAGGAGCAAGAATGCCGATAATGCTGTCACATTCGAATCCGCTAACGATGTCATTCTGTGCGGCGGAGCGATCAATTCACCTCAGCTTTTGCTGCTATCTGGTATTGGACCCAAAGCGGAGGTCACGCGACACGGTATTGAATTAGTACACGAACTACCGGGTGTGGGTCAGAACCTACAGGATCACCCTGATGTAGGTGTAAATGCCAAGTCAAAGCACAATGTTTCACATCCGTTGCAAATTGGTGCGTCGGGACTAGGCATGCAGGCGAATCATGCGAAATTGATGGGCGAGGGAAAGGGATGCTATTCAGGCGAGTTTGGATTGGTAGGTACGTTCTTCAAGACTATGGAAGGTTCCAAGGCCGCCGATATCCAACAGGTATGTATTTTATCAGTAGCTGTCCGTCTAATCTCATCATAGATTTTGTTTTGATGAAAATTGTAACCTATAAGTGAGGCGGGCTATACAGGCGTTTGTGTATGTGGTGCTTTAGGCTAGGAGAAAACAGTGACGTAACAACTGTTCGTGATACTCTAAATTGCAGTGCGACTTTGGTTCTTCTGCCGCATGCGGTCCTCATTTATGAGTGGGAAAGCGAATATTTGTTTTTCTAAACTTCGTCATTCCTTTCATCGACAGCACTTGTGCCCGTTCTACTACAAAGACCATGGAGCAACCCTGACATACGGATCGGGTGTGACGATGAAGAACTGTGTTCTGCGTGGGGAATCTCGAGGATCAATCACACTCGACTCATCCGATCCCATGTCACCGCCAGCTATTGAGATGAACTTCTTTAAGGAAGAGTATGATATGGAAGTCATGGTAACCGGAGTCAGAGCGAGTTTGAATTTGCTGAAAACACAGGGCTGTGTTGATCAGGGTCTTGCGCTATGTGGTTTCAAGGATCCCAATAACATCAGTGATGACGAGATCCGCGAATACATTCGCAACAGTGTAGACTCTGTATACCATCCAGGTATGCATACGCTTGAGATCATTTTAAACAGCAATACAAAGTATTGTGCTTCTAGAATCTTATCTATCACAGTATATATGCGTTGTATAGATATTTTCTGTGCTTCCATCCACATACATTATACGCCTCCCCATACAAACCTTTCTCTGCTTGATACAGTTTCTTTAGGTGCAGTGATCGTATTTCCTCATACGAATCTCTTTTACTTGTTACAGTTTCATCTTGTGCAATGGGACCTACCAGTGACGCGATGAGTGTCGTTGGGCATGACAACGGTCTGAAGGTGCATGGCATGGAAGGACTTCGCGTGATCGACGCGAGTACCATGCCTCTCATTGTCTCGGGAAACACAAACGCACCTACTATGGCTCTGGCACAGGTGGCATATGAGCAGATGGTGGCGTGCAAGGACGTGAAGAACACGGACAGCAGTATCATGACTCCACAGAATAAGCCTCAAGAACAACTAGTTGCTTCCGCCTGAAAGCCTCGTCAGATCTGATATCCTCATTGATCGGTGGCATATGTAAAAGGAACACGGATCATTTCGCACTGAATGCAGTGCTCTAAATCAGTAGACCGGTATCTTTAATATAAATATAATACATCGTTTCCAAGGTATACTCCAAAAGTCTCAACATTGTCATATACAAGCCATGTGAGTCAAGCAGTATATTCACTTGTTCTGATGAATACCAAATAGGACGGGAAATAAACATTTTTAATAAAATAAGTATAACTCGTGACAAAGTGGCCAAACCGTGGGATTTCCAACATGATTTTTAATAAAATAAGTATAACTCGTGACAAAGTGGCCAAACCGTGGGATTTCCAACATGTTCGACAATACTTTATAAATTTCGGCCATCAACCTAACGTGCTTGTTCCATTGACGTTTCGTGCTGCAAACCACTGACGATGAATTTGTGGTATGTTTAGTTACAATGATATTTTACAGTGTGTACTTATCCGTAAATACAACGATTGTAGCGTATTTTCATATTTTGTATTTTGCTTTTCATTTTTTTCATTTGATGTTTATGGGGTCATGGATGTGTCATTCTTATGACATATGACGTCGTTTAATTTGATGACACTATCGCAGCGATCAATAGTTTAACGTGGTTAATTATTTTAAAAAAAATGTTACCAGAAACACCATACTAAAGTAGGCTACTCAATTGTATACTGCATTGGACATGCTTACGTTTGACAAAGTGAATGTATGTACTCTTCGTAATATAGTGAACATTCCTGCATATACCATCGCGAACTGCCGTATACGATGGTAGAGAGCCCTGTATGAAAGAAGCACTGCTCTCAGCATCAGGTGCAGGAAAACAGCGCCATCGAAAATCATAGTTAACCAGTAGCGCAATCAGTGCACACGTCGTCTCATTGACATCCTATTGTACTGCACATTGCATCTACGGGATACCATGCGGGCGCCATTGCCGGCTATACCGCCTGCCGATAAGCAAAGTGTAGGTTGTCCTGACAGCTCAGTGGATAGTAGTATACTAGAGTGGACAGAGAATGCCCACAATGCCACTTCAGTAGGAGGTCGTGGTAGCAATAAGGCAGATACAGCGAGTTTAAAGAGCGAGAAGATATCCCCTGGATCTCCGGTGATTGTTATAAAACGGGACAAGACCACCTCGGTGGAGTTTAATAGGAATGCAGCGGCTAGCAGGAGGCCTTTGAAAAAAACCCTAAAACATACCGAACCACAGCCTGCTTCGAAGTCAAACATAGGAGACGATCAGGCCCCAAGTGTAAGTGCAGATGCATCTGAGCGTAAGGATCTAGATTCAAATAAATCAAACAGTAGGGATCTCGATTCGGGCTCAGCAAAAACTGAGGAGCTAGTTGCACGTGTACCCACTAGAAGCAAAGATCCAGTTTCTAATATTTGTAGAAGCAAGGATCCAGTTTCCAACACATTGGGAAGTAAAGGTCCAGTTTCAACGATATCCAGAAGCAATAAGGCTCGAGTTGTTAGCGATGGTGAGAAGAAGGGCAGAGTTCGCGGCTGGGTGAACCGTATGGTTAGGAACAAGGCACCGGCAACTGCTGAGGTAGTTGTCAGGCAAGGTCTACAGAGGAATCGCTCAGTTGTGTCACGCAAACAAGGCACACCGGTATGTACTTTCGTAAAGATGTGCGCGATATAAATCACAAGTGTTGTAATTAATATATGTATTTTATTCGCCAAAAGATGTTTATACTTTAAAAATCGATTATCATTACATCATAGTCGGCGCTGTCGATTAGCTAGACAAGTTTAGTCTACAAGCCCGTACTTTGAATCACACATTTGACAGATTCTTCTGTTTCTTAAGAAC